TGCTTGAATATAATGGAAAATAAACCAAAGATCATTAAAACAGAATAACTAATAACTGAAAACTAAAAACTCAGAGTCCCAAAAGGGGGAAACTATAACAGTATGTAAATTCAGTCTATTTACTTTCTATTTACTTTACTATTAAGGAGTAAAGTTTTAAATATAGTTTAAATATAGTTTTCAAAATTTCGAATTTTAAGGTGTATTTTTATTTAGCTCTGCTTGAGGTTATACTCTGTACAACCACTTGCAAGACTAAGCTGGTCTTTGGGGTGTTCAAAGCCAATAACAATAAATGGGATCTACAGTAGTAGCCATTCAACATTTCCCCACTGTCCTTTTTTTTTATATATTTTTTTTACAGTGTCCTGTCTGGCAATGTGGCAATGAGAATAATTGTCTTGATGCCAAAAAGAGCCCAACAGATTTTACTTTCCCAAGTGTAGCAGTATGGCAAATGCCATATAACTCCACTTGTTTCATGCATATAAATTGCTTTATTATAATTATGCAGGGAGTTTTACAGTTTATATGGATACTGCAATGTAAATAGAGCAGAAAAACAGAAGAAGAAAAGGAAAAAAGAGAAAAAAAGAAAAGATGAAAGAAAGAAGAGATAGAAAGGGGACAATGACAAAACATTTTCAGTCTGCTTCATCACCTGTAACAAGATGAAAAAAGAACAGCACAACCGAAAGACATGGTACGAGATATACAATAAAGCAACGCCTTGAAACTATCGCTAAAGTAATATTATCAAGTCTGACATGTCCTCTGTACCTGAAGCTATGAATGTGGGCTTTCTGTATGGAAGTGAATCTCTAAGTACCTGGAGCCAAGCACCTGTAATTGTTTGTGAGGGTGCACTTGTGCATGTAAAGTTTATCCATAGAAACAATGCTCAATAGTGGTTGTGGAGAGCTGAAGAGGCACACCCCCCAGAGCATTGAGTCCAGCGCCAGGATACCCAAAGCCCCAGGTGCCCAAAGGGACCCAAAGAGCGAAGGCACCAAGGAGGGGCCAGCCCCGGAAATCGGACCCCCACCAAAAGCGCGGCCCCACCCCACCAAGACAGATGCCAACAGCGCACAACGCAACACACCGCGCACAGAACTAACCCAAGAGCAGAAAAGCCGCCCAGCACCCGACCGCAAGAAAAGCAGACCGCAGCCGGCGCAACCACACCCCCCAGCAGCCTGCGGGCAGCACAAAGCCAGAGCGGAGCGAACCACGCCGCTCTCCCACCGGACGAAGCCAGAGCAGCACAGCCGCGTCCGCCACTCCAACCCCCACCCGCCCGGCAGCCACACCCGCCGCGATCAGTGGGAACAGAGCAGCTCCATAAGCGTCGTTAGACCTATTTTAGGGTGGCTTCAGTCATCCTTTCTTTGGCATTAGCCACCCTATAATTATTTGCGATTTTAAAAAAAATATTTTTTTTTTTCTGTATTTATTTTTTCCTCATATTTTCCCAAAACAAATGCAGTAAAGCACCGAATAAAAGCCATAAAGAAGACAAGTTAATCTGAACAATCATAGGCGTAACTTCCTTAAGGACTGGTGTGTGTCCCCACCAATATTTTGTACACGTATTTTGCTTTCGGTGCTGTGTATATCTGATTGAATCCCCATTCATGCCGCTCCTCAGAAAGAAAATAAAAAAAAGTTCTCCCCGCTGCTCACCGTCCACAAACCCCGACAAAAACTCAGAAAAAAGAATCTGTTGCCTCTCGCTTTCTCCCCATCACCCCCCTCCAACCTCTCCCCATAACATTTGAATTGAAGATATCCGTGGGTGACGGGTCGGGTTCGGTAGTCATCCTAACGGGTTCGGGCGGGTGCGGGTTGTTAAAACTCGACCCATGCAGGTCTCTAAGCTACACTACATTCAGTATCGTTGCCATAGAAACAGACAACAGCGCCAATATATCAGAATTATACTAAAACACACGCAAATAATTTCCCACATAAAAAACAGGACTTTCAGTCCATTACAGTTTTCCGTTTTTAGAGGGTTGTTTATTTTGCGTTTATTAAGCAGTGATTGATTAATTTAAACACCTGCTCTACTGATGGTCTATTGGAGTTGGTGTTTAGGTTGAACATAAAGAACACATAAATCTGATTACCGATTACTTTTAAGCTGGTTGAACATACTGCGACAGACTGGTGACCTGTCCAGGGTGATCCCACCTCTCACCCAGAACGTGGCTAGAGATATGCACCAGCACCTCCTGATCCCACTGAGGGATAAGGTTAAAGAAAATGGATGGTTGAACATAGTCCGCTCTCCCAGATTCTATCAAATCAGTATTGATACCCTCAGGGGCGGATTTAGGAAATTTGGGGCCCTAGGCAAAGACAGGCAGGGGGCCCCCTGAGAAGAAAACCCATAAAACAGACCCATTCTACAGATAGAGAAATGTTAATAGAATAGACATCCATTATTTGTTCTAGGTTTTGGCCCTCTCTTCTTGTCCCTTTTTCCTCTCTATTCATCAGCGTTCTGATGGCATTTTAGCCAAAGGATTTTTATCAAAAACATAATTAATGTGCACAAATAAGGATTAGTTGTATTAACCATACATGGAAACAGAGTTTTATGGGGCCCCCAGAACTTGGGGCCCTAGGCAACTGCCTAGTATTGCCTAATGGTAAATCCCCCCCTGGATACCCTGCTAGTGGATGTTCTTGACAGAAAGACGGAGTTGCTTAATCATATTCTGCTTAAAGTCCCATAAGATCTTGTCCGAGTCCTGGTTTAAAAGTAAATTAATTTTAAAAAGTGACCCAAAATTGACTGTCAATAAATGTTCTACAAAATTGATATATTTATTTGATTTCTTGATTTATTTGATACTGTCTGTTTAGATTTATGTGATATTTTTTGCACAAAATATATAAGTGAATATTGTAACAGTTATGTTTTCAACTGTAAGCATTAAATTGATAAATGTTATTCGCATTTTTTTGGCTTTATCCTTTCCAACCAAAAAAAAAGGCGTTGCGCAGGTAGCTCCCTTTCCTTATGAGCCGTCCCCACCAACGTTCAACACAAAGTTACACCCTTGTCTTAGACAACGCCTTAGCAGGTGCACTGAAAAAATTTTGGCGCGCGCGTAATATCTTCTAGGGGCTGAGCCACCCTTGTCTCTTAAACCTAGAGACGCCCCTGAGCTCCACCATGCCTCCAAGTCGGAAAACCCACCCGAAAGCCCAATCAGCGCAGCCAGCCCATCCAAACCAGCCCCCCAACACCACCCCCGCCGGAGCCGCCCAGACCCCCACACACCAGTGGCGCGCCGCCAGCAGGACCCCCACCCAACGGGGCCGCCCCTCGAGAAAACAGACATCCCGATCCCCCCCAGAAAAAGAACGGCAAGCTGAAAAGCCCCCAAAATGCGACAGTGGACACCAGACACTGACCCGCCCGAAACCGCTAAAATAAATATATATATATATATATATATATATATATATATATATATATATATATATATATATATATATATATATATATATATACATATATATATATAAATAAATAATAATACATATATATATATATATATATATATATATATACATACATATATACATATAAAAAAAAATAAAAAATAAAATAAAATAAATAAAAATTCCCCTAAGCAAGAGGAGAAATGCAAGCGGAAAAACCAGAGCCCAAAACAAAACCCAAGACCTGCACCTCACCATGCCGTGCAGCTCCCCTCCCCCCCGAACCGGTACCACAAGACCGGCATCGGAAAAAGCATCGCCCAGGAATCGGCATCGAAGCGAAGGCACCGAAAATCCCAGAACAACACCCAGCCCCACCCCGAAGTGAATCCAGTCCCGGGCCCCAGGGATCCGAGGCCGCAGGGGCGCCCAACCCCCAGACAGGAGCCCCAGCAAGGCCCCGGCCGGCCGGGGCCAGCGGAGAGGGCGCCAGGAATGAGCCGGCAACCACCCGGGCATCCACCCCCAGACCCCGAGCTCCACCAGTGCACCGGCGATTTCCCCACTTTCCTTGATGGGCCCTTGCTGGTCCTTCGCTGGTCCCCCTTCAATTACTTTTTAAACATCAATATTTGTATTAAAATATTATTTCTGTCTTGATTTGATGACATTAGGATCTAAAGAGAAGCATTATCTCCTGGTCAGAACTTGTAATTCAGTGAAAGGTGGAGTCAGAATAAAAAATATGCAAGAGAGGGTCACTCCAGTGGAGTTGCAGGGAAGGGGGCTGCCAATCAACTGGCGTTTGACTGGGAAGGGCCATTTTGAATGGCTGCTACTGTATTTGGTAGTTTATGCCTTCTGAACTCAATGAGTTGTACCAGATTTTTTAAATGGGTTTTAGAGCTTAAGAATTTAACGCATTTGCTCTATCAACATTTTTATTTAGTAAAAAAGAAGTAATATCCCAATAGCATAAATAAATAAAAAATCTAAAGGTTTAACTGGTTTGAATATTTTTGCAAGGCACTTCATCTATACATAGAAAAAGAAGTATTTTTTGGCCTAAATAAGCTGTTTTATTTTTCAATGGTCATAATGTGGTCTTTTTTATTTATCAAATGATTTCGTCTTATCTATTGACTAAAAACTCATACCAAGAATGTCAACAGGACTTTACTCATTTCTGTCATTTTTATGTATATCTAAAATCTATGTTCACGTCAAAGAGGCTCTCAATTCATAGCAGGCTTATGACACAAGTAATTGTATTTCTAATTCTGCTCCAATTATGGCATTATTATGTCAGCCATTTTTTTCTATTTTGGATTAAAAGTGGGGACACAAGCAGCTCTTGAATGTAGGAAAATAAATTATATGTTTTTGCCAAAATTTGTAATTTCTACTCCCACTGCCCCAGAGTCTGAGTTACAACAAAATCTTGCATCTTAAACAGAATTAAGGCACAGGGACCTGAATGAGCTCGCACATTTGATTTTATTTTTGTGTCTGTGTGTGCGCGCCTTTATTGTTTGTGCTCTCACCTCCACAGACCTCTCCCTCCATGTCCTCACACTGACGGTCATCACACTCGCAGTTTTTGCCATGAATGCGACTGTCCCCTGGTGGGTGGCAAATACACTGTCCACAAAGACACTGACCTAGAAAAACAGAAATGTTTTTTATTAGATCAGATCTATTCATTTCCTATATGAGGAAATTTAATGAGTTTATTTTTAATTTTTTTTATTGGCCAAGTCTGAGCAGAAGTGAAGAAAACTATCCTCTATTAAAGCAAAAAGATGATTAATAACTACACCTATACCTAGAGGTGGTTAATTAATGATCTTGTAATACGAGTTTGTGTGTGTGTGTCAGTGTACAGTAGAGACAATGACTGTGATCTATCGGTAAGACTTGAAATGTAAGCTTACTTTCCTTGCTTCCAGCTTCCATTTTCCCATATATATATGTGAGAAGATAAAACCTAAAGCAAAAGGTTTACAATAATAGTAAAACTTCTGGTTTCTAGGGGATGATTCTAAAGCAAGCAACCCAAATGAAAAGGATATATATTACTCTTATAAGATATGTAATCTTACGTTTGTATATGTTTTGGCTAAAACTTGTGAGTAATGCATCAGATATTCATTAAATTGAAACAAAATTAAATTTTCAGGATTTTGTTGCCTATCAAAACAATATATGACACTCACTTCATGTGCAATATCCTAGTAGAAAAATGTGATATGAAACTTATGACTTCTTACAAAAATCCATGAAGCTTAACTGTTACAACAAATATAAAAAATATAAAATAAAAATGAGTTAATTATTAAAATACAAGAAAATTGATAACTTTATGAAACACATGAGACACTAGATTGTTATATTCTTGCTAACTTTACCAACTGCTTAATATCTTATAAAGCCTTTAAGGTGGCATAAAAGATTATTCACTCCATTGTTGTTGGAGACTTGGCAGGACAATCAAAGCTAACATTACAAAGCCCTGTCCTTATGGTCAAAATGTCTCTCTTCCAAGATGTTTTCAGATTTAACGTGTTCTTTGATAAGAACACTTGAACTCTTGACTCCATCCATCCATCCATCCATCCGATAATATCGTTATTACCTTTTAGCTGTATCTTTTTTTCACAGCAACTACCAAACTGATAATAGCACACACAGTTTAAGAAAAATAATTCATATTCTTTATTTAAGGCTAAACTGTATCTAAGTTTTAAGCTCTCAAAAAATATTTAAATTAAAGGTATCTGGGCTTCATACATGAAAGCATCAAGTGTTTCAAGTGTTGAAACCAAATTAAGTTTGAATAAATCCAAGCTGGTTTGGGGAACAGCGGATCTCGTCCCTGCTTTTTGCGGATGATGTAGTTCTGCTGGCTCCCTCCTGCCAAGACCTACAGCGTGCGCTGGGGCGGTTCGCAGCCGAGTGTGAAGCGGCTGGGATGAGAATCAGCTCCTCCAAATCCGAGGCCATGGTTCTCGACCGGAAAAAGGTGGCATGTCCCCTTCGGGTTGGAGGGGAGTCCTTGCCTCAAGTGGAGGAGTTCAAGTATCTTGGGGTCCTGTTCACGAGTGAGGGAAGAATGGAGACGGATCGGTGCGGCTGCTGCAATAATGCGGACGCTGGACCGGTCTGTCCTGGTTAAGAGAGAGCTGAGCGAAAAGGCAAAGCTCTCAATTTACCGGTCGGTCTACGTTCCTACCCTCACCTATGGTCATGAAATTTGGATCATGACCGAAAGAACGAGATCCCGGATACAAGCGGCTGAAATGAGCTTTCTCCGCAGGGTGGCTGGGCTCTCCCTTAGAGATAGGGTGAGGAGCTCGGTCATTCGGGAGAGGCTCAGTGTAGAGCCGGTTCTCCTCCACATCGAGAGGAGTCAGTTTAGGTGGCTCGGACATCTTCTTTGGATGCCCCCTGGACGCCTCCCTCGGGAGGTGTTCCAGGCATGTCCCACCGGGGGGAGGCCCAGGGGACGGCCCAGGACACGCTGGAGAGACTATGTCTCTCGGCTGGCCTGGGAGCGCCTAGGGCTTCCCCCAACAGAGCTGGAGGAGGTGTCTGCGGAGAGGGAAGTCTGGGAGTCTCTGCTTAGTCTGCTGCCCCCGCGACCCGGTTCCGGATAAAGCGGGAGACGACGAGAGTAAATCCAAGCTGTTTATTGCTGCTTATTATAATTTTTCTATACTGGTTATTCTCCCTGTTTGGTTTTATATCATCTCTGACTTCTAGATGAGTTCCATAGATACATTTTTATACAGACAGTGAATGATGCCACTTATTCGTTTTAAATTAGATTGTTGAAAGCTGCAAAACCTTTAATGGACATTATTCACTAAAACACTCCTCAAGAAGGTGTTGTTCCAATTCAATCACTGGGCTGCTGGTGAAGAAGGCCATTGGGAAGGCTACCAAGTGAACATGCATTCTAGTGATGATGATGATTAGAAAAGCGTTTTTCTAACAGCCATTTCAGGACCATACAATATATACAGTATTTCATCTGGAATAATAACTAAGACTCAAGAAAATATATTTAAAATGTGTAAGGCATCTTTCTTACATTGTATACAAGAGAACATTTTTTAAAGTCTTTGTTTTGGTTTAATGGGATTTCACTGTTCCCGAAGTCCAGCTAAATCTCCGTAATAACTTCAGAAAATGTAATTTAACAATTTACAGTTTATTGTTTTTCCATTATCCTGTTAAATACATAGGCAAAACATAAAAAAATATTATTAATTCAAAAGGAAGTGAAGAGCTGCACAACAGCCATTACCAATATAAACTATGGAGCATGGTGTGGGCTTTAAAGACCCAAGGCAAAGGTTGGGCATCCAAATACTTTATATGAGAAGACTTTGCTGTTAAAACATTGCTTGTTAAATAGTTATGAACACTGAAAGGAGTTAACTGAGGTAGATTAAGGATGGGAATTCACAGATTGTAACACTCACCACAGTGAAGGGTAATACCAAAACACCTGGTGGGTCTATATAAGTATTAAGGACCGCAATAGGTCAAAACAAAAAGCAGTGTGCAATAGTAAATGCATGTTGCTTGTTTGTACATGATTCATTATTTTACGTTCTGTGGGCTCACACCGAACAAGAAAACACATGAAACAAGTTCTTGATTAGTGATATTACAAGCTCAGAATGTTCTTATGGGGTTCCTGAAAGTTTAACACCAACGGTTTACTTTTAGAAATTATAGAAAAAAAGGGCTGATAGAAAAACAACGCATCAGCTTTCTAAATTAGACACAGCCATTTCACTTTGTATTTCACACCAACCAAAACCAGCTGATCAGACATAAAACAATTTGGTTACACAAACACTGACAAATACACACAAAACAAAACTCAAGAAACATCAAATGGGTTCTTAAAAATGAACCAAAAAATGTGACTCTGAATTAAATTTTTTGTGTTTTTGGCTAAAGAGTGCAAAAGTTGGGCTTCAACCCATAGCCATTAGCGAGTCCAAAGAAAATCAACAGGCTGTCCAGGATGGGAGGAGCTGATGCAGTCAGTGAAAGAGGCACATGATACATTAGCATATGGATGGTAGTGATAATACTTCATTCTTTCAATGACGTTTCGCGTCGGTCCAGAAAGCTTTTTCAAGTCAACACAAAACCATTGCCATCCCATATTTGGCAGGAGTCTCTGAAAAACTCAAGAGGATTTTCTCCAAACACTAAATCCCAGTACATTTCAAACTAAACAAGGCCCTTAAACAGAGGCTGGTGCATCCTAAGGATAAAAACCCTCAAGCCTAAGAGGAGCGGAGTGGTGTATGCAGTTCAATGCAGTCAGGAATGCTCTAGATCTTTATATTGAAGAAACAAAACAACCTCTCAACAGACGCATGGATCAACACAAGCGAGCATCCTCCTCTGGCAAGGCTATGCTGTCCACCTACACCTTAAGGACAAAGGACACTCGTTTGAGGATCAGAATGTTCACATTTTGGACAAAGAAGAGAAGTGGGATTGAAAGGAGCATGAAGAAGCCATTTACTGTACATTAAGAGAGAAAAACCAACCTTAAACAAACCTGTTAAGTCATTTGCATGCCAACAATGACCTTAATGACTCCCCATTACTGAGGGGTGGACCTGTCTTAAGTTCAATTTGCATGTTTTCTAAGCCCTTACAAGGCTTTTGTTGGGCTACTTTATAAAGCCTGGAGATCACGCTACTCCAGACAATGTGAATAGAGAAAGCTTCCTGGACGGTAAGCAAAACATCTTCAAACTCGGAAAGCAAAAGTCCAGTGGTTTGCTTTTAATTGTTTGGGGGAATTTGAATGACATGAAAATACTTTGAAAAATGATACAATGTGTACAAGGAATATTCTCAGGGAAACATCCTTTATAGCCATGTATAACCTGCAAAAAAAAAAAAAAAAGAAAATGGTGCAGAACGATTATATAAATCAGCCAAAAAAAAAAATAAGAATACAAAATTAAGTAGCCAACAGAGGACATTCAACAAATTACAATTTGTCTCCATCAAATAAAATGGTTATTTTCCTACTTTAATTTCCCTAATTTAAATAATCTCAAATTACTTCCAGAACTCAATTTGCATGGCTTTATCTTCTAATGACCTGGTGTGTGAAATTTGTGGTATCAAATAGTGCAAGAGACAAATTGAGCTACTTGACTGACAACAGCCTCTAATGTGTTGGCTGTATGTATTACTGAGACTTTCTATGACCACATATTTTAAACATACACACATGCAGATATGATATGGCCGTCCCTCTTCCGCTATATACCACATACTGCCATCTGCTCTGAGGACTCAGTTACCTTAGTAACCATTGATGTCATAACACCCTCGTCTTATCAATTATCAGAGCAGTCAACAATCCACTAAAATCACAACCCGTGCTTATGTTTGTTTTCTTTGCCATGCTGCCTTTAGAGTACACCCTGATAACTGTGAGACATTGAAGGATTTACATTTAAGACCATTTCTATGAAACTGGAAAGAATTTTAAATGAATTCAAAAAGGGAAATTCATCTCTCTAACACTGACCACAGAAAAAAATCATATTAAAAATAAAGCTTTGTGGATTGTCTTAGAGAGTGCAGAATTTCAACAGTTAAACCAAGCTTT